TCTACAGCTAAGATGTTGAACAACCACTACCTGGAACTGGGCTGCCGTGAGGCGCTGGCGATGGCATAGGCTGCAGCCTCTGCTGTGGTGGGTTGCCATGGCTACCGTGTGTACCCAGCAGCCTGCGGGAGCGGCCGTCCAGAAGCCGGCGACTGATCGGCCTCGCCCGGGAAGAGCGCAATGATGGTGCCCAACTTGGGCCAGTGAAGCAACGTCCTCCACAACTAGACTGACAACAAGGACAGCAACTTGTCTGTTCCCCTTCCCCCAATTCCCCAATAAATATCTTTAAAAAAAATTTTCATAATGATAAAGAGGTTAATTCACCAAGAACACACCAGGAATTTTATGCCTCTAATACCAGAACTAGAAAACATATGACACAATAACCAGATAGACCTGCATAGAGAAATGGACAAATCCACAATGATAGAGCTCCCAGGATCCGTCTCTCAGTGACTGATGGAACAGGCGGGCAGGAGATGAGCATTGGCACCATCAGCCGACTCAACCTGATCGATGTTTATAGAACTCTCCACCCAACAGCATGCGTTTTCCAATGCATGTGAAACAGTTACCAAGATAGACATTTTTCAGTGCCATAGGTATTCTGACAAAAGTGGAATTAAATTAGAAACCAATAAAAATATCTGGAAAATCAGGTATTGGGAAAGTAAAAATCATGCTGCTGTATAATCCATGAGTCAAAGGAGAAATCAAAAGGGCAATTAGAAAACTTTTGAACTGGATGAAATGAAAATGCAGCATATCAAAATTGGTGGGATGTCAAGAAAGCTCTAGTGAAGGAAATTTGATAACACTAAATACCTAGATTGGATGAACATTTTAAAAGGTTGCAAGTCTTTGAATTCAACTTCTACCTTAAACTACAAAAATTAAATCCAAAAGAATGCAAAGAAAGGAAATAATACAGATTGAGTGGAAATGAATCAAACAAAGCAGAAAAACTAGAGAAAACTGGTAAAGTAAAAACATTTTTTTTTTTACAAGATCAATATAGTTGACAAACATCTGGCCAGACTGATTAAGCTAAACAAGTGAAAAGACATAAATTGTCATTATCAAAAAAGAAAGTGGAGGCATCACTACAGATTCTATTGATCTTAAAAGGATAATAAAGGAATAGTGCAACCCCTTTATGCTAATAAATTTGACAACTTATATATGAAGTGCACAAATTCCTTGAAAGACAAAAACACTAAAGTTCACTCAAGAAGAAATTCAAACCTGGTTAGCTCTATATCTATTAAATAAATTCAATGTTTAATTAAAAACCTTCCCTCAAAGAAAACTACATGCTCAGATGGCTTCACTGGGGCGTTCTACCAAACATCTGAGGAAGAAATAATAGCAATTTTACACAAACTCTCACAGAAAATTGAGAGGAGGGAATACTTCTCAACTCATTTTATTATGTGAGTATTATCCTGATACCAAAACCAGACAAAGACAATACAAGAAGAAAAAAGTACAGACTAATCTTCCACTTGAACATAGATGTAAAAATTCTTAACATTTGAGCAAATCAAATCTATGTAAAGTTATGTAAAAATGATAATATATCATGACCAGTTGGGATTTGTTTAAGGAATGCAGGGTTAGTTTAGCATTAGAAAATTAATCAGTGGAATTCAACTATTATGAAATTTAAAAAGAAAAATCGTGATCATTTTAATAGATAACAAAAGCATTTTACAAAATCTAACATCCATTTCTGATTTTTTTTAAATTTAGCAAATTAGGAATTCAAGGAAGCTTTTTCAACCCAACTGGGCATTTATGAAAACCCTACAGCTAACATCATACTTAATAGTGAAACGTTAGGTGCTTTTCCCTAAGATTAGGAACAAGGCAAGGATGGTTTTCTCCTACCCGTTTAGCCAGCTATGTAATAAGGCAAGAAAAGGAAATAAAATGATCCAGATTGGAAAGGAAGACGTAAGATTGTCACTGTTCACTGTTGACATGATCAGCTATGTAGAAATTCTAATGAAATATGCCAAAGGCGGGGGTGGGGAGGTAGAACTAAAAAGTAAGTTTACCAAGTACAAGACCAATATACAAACTGTGTTAGCAACAAACAAGTGGAAATTGCTTTATATTTTGTTAGCATCAAAAACATGAAATACTTGGGCCGGCCGAGTGGCGCGTTGGTTAGGAGATGGCTTGGGACGCCAGCTCTGAGCAGCAGGGCCCTGGTTCGGATCCCACATGAGGGCCAGTGACACTGCCCTCTACAGTTAAGGTGGTGAACAACAGCTCGACCTGGAGCTGGGCTACCATAAGTCGCCGGCGATGGTGTAGGCTGCAGTGCAGCTGGCCAGCAGCGAGTGTGAGCTGCTGTGAGTCGCCGTGAGCAGCCGTCCAGTGGCTGGCGAGTGACTGCCTTACCCGGGAAGAGCGCAATGATAATACCAACATGGGCCAGTGAAGCGACGTCCTCCACAATTAGACTGAAGCACAAAAGGACAGCAACTTGTCTGTTTCCCTTCCCTGATTCCCCAAGCTGTTTCTCCCAATTCCCCAATAAAATCTTTTTTTCTTTTAATTATTTTTTATTATGAAATACACATTTTTTAGAATTAGTTTCAGCTCCCAATAAAATCTTAAAAAGAAAAAATGAAATACGAATAAATTTGCCTAAATATGTGCAAAATATGTACACTAAAAGCTACCAAATGTTACTGAAAGTAGACCTACCTAAATGGAGGCATATGACATGTTAGTAGATTAGAAGATTCGATATTATTGTGATGTTTTCCTCATATTGATGTACAGATTCAACATAACCTCAATCAAAACCCCAGCAGGCTATGCTGTAGAAACTGAGAAGCTGATTTTGAAATTTATCTGCAAGTGCAGAGGACCTAAAATAATTAAAACAGCTTCAAAAACGAAGAGCAGAGTTGGAAAATGAACACTACCAGATTCAGACCCAGGATATTTGGGGTCACCAAGATGCGGTCAGCAGTTTTCTCTCAGACAAACGAGAAATTAGAAGCCCTTGAGTTTCATTTTTAAAGCTGGCATTCCTGCTACAGCAGATCCTCGAATCACAGTGTTTCATTCAATGTCGTTTCATTCATGAGATGCTGCAGGAGCCTAACTGTTGTTTGTATCTCCTTGCTTTTGTTAGGCGTCTTTTCCCTCAGTCGCAGAACCTATTGACCATGTTCAGCGAGGACTTACTGTTGTCTTCAGCATTCAAATAAACTTTCGCGTGGGGGCGGCCGGTTAGCTCAGGTGGTTAGAGCACAGTGCTCACAACACCAAGTTTGCCGGTTCAATTCCCACATGGGCCGCTGAGCTGCACCCTCCACAACTAGATTGAAACAACTACTCAACTTGGAGCTCATGGGTCTTGGAAACAACAACAAAAAAACCCAAAGAAAACTATCGCGTGGATGTTTAAGGAGAGCTTTTCCTGCAGGAGGGTGTCCTTGGCTGGTGGACAGCCTTCAGTGCCGCAGTCAGACTGGGCCGTAGAGAAAGTGTCTAGTGCCACCGTAGTGTCTCCCTCTTGCTCTGCTGACTGGCTGTGCCCTCACCTGTGCTTTGACCCTGTTTTATTAGTGTCTCCTGGACTAACCGCTGGGATCTGTGGACCAGCCTCTTCTTGGAAGGGCCCTGTCCCGATGCCAGCTGGGATGGGGACAGGGAGCAAGGGGGCAAGTGCCCGGCCATGCTCCTGTCACTCATCTATGCAGACATTTTGCTGTCGGTAGGCACCCTGCAGAAAGACGTGAGAGCACAGGCATGGGGTTCTGTGGGCGCTCACAGCCAGCACCCATATCTCAGGTGCCTCTTGGGGGTGGCACAGCACCCTGGGCCCCTCGCCGCCAGAGAGGTTGCAGATGCCGCTTCCTAACAGCGGAGGGCAACCTTACCTAATTGGGTCTGACAAAGGACGTCTGACGAACATCCATTTGTCCCGCTTGTCTCACCCTCTGTGCTGGGACTGCACTAAGGTTTTTGGGAGGACCCTGCGTGCACCCTTGTGTCTATTCTGTGATGGACGGTTGGCACGTTCTCGTTTTGGCCGTTGTGAGCAGGGCTGCTGGGAACACTGCAGGTCCTCTGCTGGCCTCCGTCCCCGGACGCAGGAGCCTGGGAGGGACCGCAGGCCAGGGTGTCTGCAGGTTGGGCGGCGCTGCGCTGGGCCCCAGTGGGTAACTGGCCTCAGAGTTCCTTTCCCATCAGCCATTTGGCAGCTGTAGTAGTCCCCACTGTTTCTAGGAATTGTTCATGTGTTGTGGAAATGGCACCCACACACGTGTACGTGTATGTAATGCATTGTGCATATCCTAGATCGCACATAGTTTCCATTCTGGACTCGCCTTTTTCTTCATTGTGGAGTATGGATAAACAGAGGTTCTCAATTTTAGTATAGCTCAATGTATCAATTTTTCTTTTGTGTTTGGCGTTTTTTAGTGTCTGATTAAGACCACAAAGATTTCCTTCTGCGTTTTTTTTCTAAAGCTTTACTGTTTCAGCATTTAGATCTGCAGTTTGTCTAGAATTGAGTTCTTGTATTGGATGAGGTTGGGGTCAAGGTTCATTTCTTCCTGTTTACATGCAGTCAGCACAGCAGTGTTGTTGCACAGCCCATGCATTGTCACAAGTCACTATACATGCACATCACTTTTTCTTGGGCACTGACTGGCCTGTCAGCCTGCCGGGGCTTCGCCATGGTACCTCAGGAGCGCCAGCTGGGTGGCGCCGTCCCCATGTGCTGCTGAGGACACTGCCTCTCAGAGGCAACGGGTAGCTTGCTGGGGCCAGCTAGTGAGGGGACTGGTCACCTTCCTGGCTTGGCAGGGGCAGGATTCCCGCCTGGGGTTCAGGGCTCATAACGCGGCTCAGGACTGGGTTCCCCACTCTCGCCAGCGCTGGGCTGCACTGTTACGGTTCCCGAAGCCCAAGGGTGTAATGAGGTGTTTTCTGCATTCGTGTGCTGACACACTTCTGCTCTCTCGCAGGGCAGCGCCTTCCCGACTGATGCTGGAGGGGACATCCTGACGACCTGCTGAGACTGTCCCCGGGTCCTCAGAAGACTGCAATGTCCCAGGCTCAGGAGTATGAATGTGAGAGCCACAATGCCACCATGCAGGAGCCTCGGGTTTCAGGATCCAGCACGAGGTAAGGAGATGGCGGTGTGCTGCAGAGGTGACGAGAACTAGCGAGGAGGACGCATGTCTGTCCTTTCCTCACAGAGGGAACCAAGGCTTGGTTGCCACTCTGTGGTGGCCTGACTGGGCTGCTGTCCATCTGCACGTAGCAGGACTGGGCCCACTGTCCTTGCAGAGGTGACTTGTGCTTGCTTCTGAAGTGGGCACTCTCCCCAGGAAGCCTGGTCCCCAGGTGTGACCCCCACTTCCTGCCACAGCCGCTATGCAGAGGGACGGGGGCGGGGCGTCTCATGGGATGGGTGTGGCTGGCTGAGCGGCACACTGTGCAGGCCCTGTGGCTGCGCCCAGTTCCTTACGCCCCTCTCTGGGCATCGATGGGTCCACTGCAAGGCAAATGGCCACACTTCATCTTTTTTATTTTCTGATTTTTCACTTTATTTGGAAATAATTCACACTTACAGGAAAGTTGCAAGAACAGGAACGGTGCACTGTACACCTGTGTGCCCTTGCCCAGATTCACCCTTTGTGGCCACTTTGTGCTGCTCCCCCTACACACAGATGATGCTGCTCTCCGAGTCATCTTGGGCAGGTCACAGGTGTCATGGCTTAGTGTTTGCTGCTGGCACCCAGGACAGTGTTGCCGTGAGTGAACCTGTACCGTGGGAAGCTTCCATCTCCTCTGCGCCCAGTCTGTCTGTGGCAGCTGGTTCCCTGTCGTCCTGGGTAGCGCTTCCAGCCCCTCCAGCGTGCACTTGTCACACCCGGCACCCACTCGCCCCGCCAGGCTCACATCTGGCTACATGTCCGTTCACCTCTGTAATCTGGAAAATTTCCACAGCATTTCTCTGTCTTTTGTGACATTGACACTTTGTAAGATAATAGTAGCCTTTTTTAAAATCAAGCACTCAGTTTGGGTTTGAGTCTCTTAGTGGAATGCTACCCTGTGGTGTGACGTCCTTCTCAGGCTCCAACGTTTCCAGGCACACGGCCCCCAGCCGCTCGTCTGCCCTCCCCAGCATATGATGACTGGTTTCCCCTCGCCACCCGTGCTCTTCACCAGTGTAGGTGTTTTGATCCTTTCTCACACGATCCAGTCTTTTCTGGATGGCTGGAGAACACCAGCTTCCCAGCCACAGCACTTCTTCCACGCCCAGCAGTTGGCAGTTGGCTCCGAACGGGACAGGAACCCCAGAGCCCCCTCCTCCCTGTCCCTGCATTCAGTTGCTTGTTCTTGCTGTGGAATCAGGTTTTCCTTTTTTTTATATATATTTGGAGTTCATTCCTGCACGTAATTACTTGGACACTCACGCTATCCCAGCTTGGTTCAGTTGGGTTCCTTCACGCTGCCTCCTGGCCTGTGATTCTTTAGAGTATTTTCTCCTTTGGGCTTAACAGATGCCCCAGGCATGTCTTGTACTGCCTGCCTCGCCTATCCAGCTGTCCCCTGAGGGGCCCTTGTTCCTTTAGGGAAGATTGGAGTGGAGGACCAGGGTGGGTGCTTGGTGTGCTGTGGCTCCTGCGTGTATGTGCCACATGTGTGCACAGATGCACACATGCGCATGCAGAATGCACGCACATCAGACTGCTGTGCTCACACTGGTGCCTTACATTCTGATCTGTTCCCAGAGGGCACTCTGATGTGTCTCCCATTCCCCAGCCATACCCCCTTCCTCCGTGAGAACCTGCTCCCAAGAGCTTCATTGGTGCACTTAACTCACCTGCTCACTGGTGATATGTCCTCAGTTGTTTCAGAGTCGCTTCACCCATTCCACTACAAAAAGGATTCCTACATATGCTTTTAAAAGTTCATGCACAGGGCCGGCTGAGTGGCTCAGTTGGTTAAGAGTTAGCTTAAGAACACAAGCTCTGAGCAACAGGGCCGCTGGTTTGATTCCCACATGGGCCAGTGAGCTGCGCCCAAGCTGAACTGCTGAGCTGCCAACAGGTGGCAGGATGGCTCAGCTGGTGAGAGCATGTGCTCCTAACAACTAGGTTGCCTGTTTGATGGTGGGCTATGCATGCCCGCAAATAAGACTGAACGCGGCACCTTGAGCTGAGCTGCTGCCCGGATGGCTGAGTGGATAGAGCGTGTGCTCTTAACAACAAGGCTGCCGATTCAACCCCGCATGGGGTGGTGGCTACACCCACCCGCAACTAAGATTGAACACAGCACCTTGAGCTTAGAGGCCACGAGCTGCCGATGGGCAGATTGAAGAACAACAACTTGGCCGGTCCCGTTCCCCAATTCCCCAATTTAAAAAAAAATAAGTTGACACACAGGCCTCACAAGAACAGGAGCACAGCGTCTAGTCCCATGTTTGCGAGTTACTGGCTAACCTCTCCTCTGCTTCCTCTCCGTGGACTCGTCTGTTCTGGACAATTTGAATAAGTGTAGCCACACAGTAGGGATCTGTGTGTCCAGCTTCTTTCACTTTGGGAGTGTTCTCAGGGCTCGTCCCTGTGGCAGCACATGGCAGCACTCCGCTCCTTATGACTGAACGATGCCCCTCGGATGGAAATACACATTGTCTTTCTCCATTAATCAACTGATGGGCTTGGGCATTTACGGATGTTGCTGCCGTGAACACGCGTGTCCAGTTTTCCGTGTGGACACGTTTCCTTTCTCTGGGCAGATACCTCGGAGTGGGTTGCAGCATCCTGTGGTCACTCGATGTTTAACTTCATGAACATCTGCCAAACTTTTCCAGAGTAGATGCACCATTTTACATTCCTTCCAACAGCACAGAAAGGTGCCGATTTTGCCACATTGTCTGCAGTACGTGCTCGTGCGGTTTTTAAAACCATATTATAGCCACCGTAACAGGTGGGAGCGGCAGGCCGATGGCTGTGGAGGCCAAGCCTGGGAGGGGTGTCCCTGGGAGGTGCAACCCCAGGGCACAAGCCGGAGGCTGCTGCCCCACCTTTTTCTGCACAACCTTGCAGGTTTACTGTTGACCAGAAGACATGCGTGACCTAAGGAGCCCCAGAGACAGCCGCGCCCTGATGGCACTGCCAGAGGGTCTGCCTCCTGTTCTTACACTTCCAAGACACCTTCTCCCAGACGCGCTGTCCTTCATGCGGTCTGGTCCCCAGGATGCCTACCCATCCTGCTCTTCCTTCTGCAGCATAACCGGCATGGTGGGTGGTGGTTGCAGGTGGGCGGGCGCAGAGCTCCTCAGAAGAGCCCGTATGACTGCAGGTGGGAGCGGGGCAGCTACAGAGTGGACTCGTTTGCTGGGTCACATCAAGCGCCGGCCTGTGACAGGCACTCAGCATGCCACAGTCTGGGCAGCAACACCCAGGGAAGCAGTGGCTCCCTAAAGGGGAACCCTAGGGGGCCTGTGACAGGGGCACTTGCTGGTCTCCTGGAGTCTGAAAGGCTCATTGATGGAACCAGACAGGGAATGGAATTGGGGTGATGTGCTGAACCATGCACTGATTTAGGGTCTCAAGGAGCTGCTGTTACAGAAACTCCCACGGCTCTCCAGGATCTACGTGAGGTGGTTATTGTGACGTTCACCGAGAGGAAGAGCTGAGGCCTGGGAAGAATGCCGTGTGGTGGGGCCTGGAGTGGGGCCCACGTTGCCCTCCTGGGATTCCCTCCAGTATCACGCAGCAGTCCTGCAACAGGTGCAGAGGGTAACAGGCACGTAGGAAACAGGCACCACCAGTGAGACGCAGCAGAAAGAGACCCATGAAGATGATAGTATTGGAGTCACCAGACACAGAATAGCTGTGTTTAAAGAAATAAGAGAAACTTGCAAATGTGAGTGGAGGACAGTAGACCCTAAAGAATGACTGTGGAGATTTGGAAAAGAGCCGGCAAATAAAACACAGCCAAAGAGAGAATTAATGCAGTAGAAAGAGAAACTAAAATGACCTAGAATGAGGCAGGCAACTGGAGATTGGGAAGCCGGAGCCACATGGAGGCTCGGCTCCTGGGGCGAGTTTTCTGTGGGAGTTCCAGAAAAAGGCAAGGGGGTCGGGGTGGTGTTTGAAAAGATGATGATGGGGAATTTTCCAGAATTGTTTAAAGATACCAACCCTCAGAAGCAGGAGTCCTGCAAAATCCTTCATTTCAACATAGTGAAACTGCAGAACACAGAAAAGGAGAATTACTCATTCTAACCATGTATCTGCCAAATCATTTGTGTTTTCTATATCATAATTACATTGTATCATGCAAATGACAATAAGTCGTTTATTCCTTATTTATTCACAAGTGAATATACAGTAAATTATTAGTCAATAGAAAAATAAGCAACATTACTTATAAAAGTAATATACAAAATAAATTGCATTTTTGTACAGCAACAGCAATCAGAAAATTACCTATAAAATTAACAATGTGGGCCGGCCGAGTGGCAGTTTGGTTAGGAGTTGGCTTGGGACGCAAGCTCTGAGCAGCAGGGCTCCGGTTCAAATCCTACATGAGGGTTAATGACGCTGCGCCCTCTACAGCTAAGATGGTGAACAACAGGTTGACCTGGAGCTGGGCTGCCGTGAGTCGCCGGCGATGATGTAGGCTGCAGTGCGACTGGCCGGCAGTGGGCGTGAGCTTTTGTGAGCTACCAAGAACCGCTGTGAGTGGCTGTCCAATGGCCGGCGAGCGACTGCCTCACCCAGGAAGAGCACGATGGTAATACCAACATGGGCCAGTGAAGCGACATCCTCCACAACTAGCCTGAAGAGCCAAAGGACAGCAACTTGCCTGTTCCCATTCCCCGATTCCCCAATAAAATCTAAAAAAAGAAAAAGAAAAAAAATTAACAATGCAAAAATTGAGAAATAACAACAGACAGGCCAGGATGTGGAGTAAGAAGCAATGCCCTGCACAGCTCAGGATAAAGCATGTCGGTGTCCTCTGCACAGGTGGTGTGGTGTGTACTCCTGTGATGTAGCACCCCACCTCTGCACACTCTGCCAGGGTCCACCTACAGGGATCACAGCATGATTGTGAAAAATAACCCTGAACGACAAACAAGCCAAATGCCTGTCAGCAGTAGAATT